TTCTAAAGTATCGAATGAATCTGATACCGGGATTAAGACAATAAGGAGTGACAATGGGGGAGAATTTATATCTGACCAATTCATTGCCTTATGCAATGACAGAGGAATAAATCACACATTGTTAGCCCCTAGGACACCACAACAGAATGGCATTGTAGAAAGAAAGAACATAACTATAATAGAAACTGCCAGAACCATGTTATTAGAATATGGTAGTCCTAAGTTCTTATGGGGAGAAGCTGTTATGACCGCAGTTTATGTAATAAATCGAGTACTAATCAGGAAACACTTGGAAAAAACCCCATATGAAATCTTGAAACATAAAACCCCAAACTTGAGATACTTTCACCCATTTGGGTGCAAGTGCTATATATTAAATACCAGAGATTACTTGTACAAGTTTGATGCCAAAGCTGAAAGAGCAATCTTTCTTGGCTACTCTATAAAAGGACAAGCATATAGGGTGTACAATCTGAGAACCAGAAGAGTAGAGGAGTCTGTTTTTGTAAAATTTGATGATTCTGCCTGTTCTGAGAAAGTTGCTGCAGAAAACATTGATCTTCTGTTCCCAATACCAAATACTAATGAAGTAAAGCTAGAAGATGAGGAGGCAAGCATCAAGCAGGACAGAGAGCCTACTGAAGAACCATGTAGTCAACCAGAAGAAAGAGTGGCACCTGCTCATATACAAAAGCGACACCCTGCATCACAAATCATTGGAAAACTGGAAGAAGGAATACACACCAGAGGTAAGTACTGCCCAGGTCAGTATGCACTTGTCTCACTTCTTGAACCAAAGAATTATAAAGAAGCTTTATCTGATGATGAATGGTTACACGCTATGCAAGAGGAACTTATACAATTTGCAAGATTGCATGTTTGGGAATTAGTACCAAGACCTTTTAACAAACTGATCATAGGAACAAAATGGGTTTTCAGAAATAAAACTGATGAACTAGGGGAAATAACAAAAAACAAGGCTAGATTAGTTGCTCAAGGATACTTACAAGAAGAAGGAATAGACTTTGAAGACTCATTTGCACCTGTTGCTAGAATTGAGTCAATCAGAATGCTGTGTGCCTACGCCTGTTATATGAAAATTCCCCTATATCAAATGGATGTTAAAAGCGCATTCTTAAATGGAGAAATAAATGAAGAAGTGTATGTAAGCCAACCCCCTGGTTTTATAGATCATGAATTTCCAGATCATGTCTATAAGCTATCAAAAGCATTATATGGTTTAAAACAAGCTCCTAGAGCTTGGTTTGAGAAATTATCCTCATTTCTAAAAGCTGAAGGTTTTGTTCAAGGAAACGTGGACAAAACACTATTTATCAAAAGAAAAAACAAAGACACACTAGTAGTACAAATCTATGTCGATGACATTATATTTGGCTCAACCAGTCCAAGTATGTGCACAAATTTCTGTGAATTAATGAAATCCAAATTTGAAATGAGCATGATGGGAGAATTGTCACATTTCCTAGGTCTACAAATCAAACAAACAAACTCAGGGATGTTCATAAGCCAGACTAACTACATAAAATCCATGCTCAACAAATTTAACATGGAAGCAGTAAACTCATGTCAAACACCAATGGCTACAAATTTAAAATTGGATAGAGATGTAACTGGTGTACCTATATGTGAAAAGAAGTATAGAGGAATGATAGGCTCTCTTCTGTACTTAACAGCGAGTAGGCCAGATATCCAATTTAGTGTTGGAGTATGCGCCAGATTTCAATCTAATCCTAAAGAGAGCCATTTAAAAGCTGTAAAGAGAATCTTTAGATATCTCAAGGGAACGATGGAAGTAGGACTATGGTATCCATTCTATGATTCCTTTGAACTAACTGGATACAGTGATTCAGATTTTGGAGGAAGTTTAGTCGATAGGAAGAGTACTTCAGGAAGCATTCCGTTTTTAGGACCTGCACTAGTCTCTTGGTTTAGCAAAAAACAAGGTGCAGTAGCACTATTAACAGCTGAAGCAGAATACCTTGCAGCTGGAAGTTGCTGTGCACAAATTATGTGGATGAAAACTCAACTAGCTGACTATGGTTTTAAACTTCAAAATATTCCAATCTGGTGTGACAATACAAGTGCGATCTGTATGACAAAAAACCCAGTACAGCACTCTAGAACTAAACATATAGAGGTAAAATACCACTTTATAAGAGACCTAGTTGTGGCGGGACATGTTTGCTTGCAATTCATACCTACTGAACAACAACTGGCCGACCTATTTACAAAACCTTTATCTTGTGAGCGGTTTACTCAACTTTGCACTGAGCTAGGGCTGAAATCCTTTAATCAAATCAAAGATCTAAAAAGATAAGCACGTCATTGGGGGGTTACAATCTAGGCATTTTGTTCATCTTGATTTACTTAAACGAAACCTCTCTTTTCGACTCATGCGTACGCTTTCTTCTTTCCTTGTAATGATTACCCTTGGTTAAGGGAAAACAGACCCTTCGACTTCCTCCTCCTTCCCGCTCCTCTTCAGCCTCTGTAGTCTATTTAAGGTCATCCTCCTGCTCACTATTTTTCACACTGCTCTCATAAACACAAAACACAACAAGCAAACCCAAAATGAGTGATCAACTACCTCATCCTTTTCGTTTTGATGGGTTGGTCCATACTTACCCAGGCTACATGTTCCACGAGCCTGTGGTAATAAACCACCATCGTCATCTGCAGCATTTTGAGAGTAGGAGGCTGCATCACAATATTCAAATCGATCCCTATGAGTTCAACTTCTATAAGTACGACATTATGTCCCTTATAGAAGCGCTGGGATGGGATTTTCTCCTTCGACAGCCGCTTCATCCAGCCTGTCCTGGTGCAGTCAAATACTTCTACTCAAACCTTCGCTGCCAAGGAGTCAGCACTAGAAGTTTCTCCACAGTCATTTATGGTCACCTCCTGACCATTCCAGTGGGAGCTCTAAATGGAATCCTTGGATTCCCATCTCAAGGAATCGACATAGCTCATCCATCAGAATTCTGGAAGCAAAACTTCATCCTACCCACTGAATACTCAAATTTCTCTACTGAACCCACAGGAGGGACAGACGTGCCAATTCCCATCAACTGGTTAACACCCCGTTTGAGAATCTTCCATCACTTCATCACTCATGTTTTCTTTCCTAGAACCTACAATCTTGACGTAGTTCTGCCACTCGACCTGTGGATCATCGCCAGTGCCATCGCTGGGCGAAAACTGGACTACGCCAGTCTGATGTTTGGAAATCTTCTGCCAGTAGGAGACGAGCACTATCAAGGTTTAATGCCTTTCGGGTCCATCATAACTCGAATGCTCATAAATCTAGGCATTGATCTATCTGATCATCGAAGCGTGTCACACACCATGTACGTGGGTGCTCTTAATGTGCTAATGGTCCTAGATCTTCCCACTGACTCTGCTCCACCTCCACCACCACTTCCCTCCAATTCCATCCTCGGTGCTCGACCGAAATCTGCTGGGAGCAACAAAGGAAAGTCTGTTGTTGGAGAGTCCAGCAAAAATGCCAACCTTGTATTCACCATATCTGATGGAAATTCTTCCTCATATGACTCAGCTGCTTCTGGTCCAGAAAACCCAACCTCTCCTGTCTCTTAATCCCTCATGCTGTTTCTGAGGGGGAATCTCCCCATCCTATCTTAGCCTCTCTTAGTAGTAGTTTAATTCTGTAGTGTCCTTAGTTTTCTGCTTAGTTAGATGTACGCTCTTTCCCAAGGGGAAGTATTTTAGGAGTTCATCTCCTCTATTTTGTAACCTCCCTGTTTTGTTTCGGATTAATTAATGCAAGTATCTATTTCCCTCGAGTGCTGCTCTGTTCTGTGTGCTATTTTTGCAGGAAATGCTGGACTTGTCGGACGAAGGGGGAAATTGATGAAAGAAATAGGGTATCGTTCTTGTCAAGACAACTAAACGGTGACGTTTTCACATCAGGCTCGCCAGCCTCAAGCTACACGACGTCGTTTTGACACCAACGGACAAAAACAGAAGAGTCGTCCTTCCAAGTCTTCGACTGAGATCATCGAGATGTCCAAAACCTAGCCACCCACCTATGCAATTCCAGAAGCATAGCAAGCCATATCTGGCAATCTCCTTCCTCAAGAAATTACCGACTCCAAAAGGGAAATGATCAATCTCCAGAGGAGCGTCTACGATCCGCGTCTACGATCCCGCCAACGGTCACCTCTTCCTCTCTAGTATAAATAGCTCTGTCCTCTCTTAATTAGAACTTGACTTGGTGACATCGAAGAAAATAGCAGAAAGGGTATTTGTCTTCTTTGAGTCCAATTTGTAATCTCTTCAAGCTACTTGATTCACAGTGCGTGGTCCTGGGTGAATTAAGTTTGGGAAGAGAGTTTCTTCGAGTTTGTTTTGTCAAAGAGCCAAAGTGTTTGGCATAGCCTACGGGCTTGGTGTAATTCTTTCACTCTTTGTTTTCTTTTCTTCTCAATCAATAGAACTTTCCTTTCCACAAAGTGTCTGAGAGAAAGAGTGATCGAGTAGAGTGTGAATTCGAGAGGATTTCTCCAATTCAGGTTTCTTCAACAATATGTTCTCATAGAACAAGGAGAGATTGACGCTAATAATTGGGGATTTCATATGGGTTAAACCAGATGAAGAGGGCATTATGGTATTTTTTTACTTTTCTTATCAAATACCACATATAAAATAACTCATCCATTTGGTTCATCCAAACAAGACAATTTAATCCTCAAATATTCTAAATAGGCAAAATACACTTGTATAGCCATAACTTTCACGTTTATACCAATAATAGCCACTTTTGAAGAAATACACAAAATAGCCATTTCCGTCTAATTCTTTAACGGTGTCATCTAACAGACTGACTGGATTAACGGAATAGCTGACCTGTCGCCATTTTATAAATAAAAATATGACGTGGAATTTACTAAAAAATAAAAATAAAAATTTACTTATTTATGTTCTCTCTCCCCTTTCTCTTCTTCCCCCTTCCATTCCCCCAACACCCGCTACTATTCGACAAATCCCCCGACAACCAAAGCTGTCTCCGATCTGCCTCCGATATTCATCAATTCGGCAGCCAAAATCCACCTTAATCAGCTAGGAGAAACCCAGCCCACAGATGATTTCCATTGCCTCTGACCCTGCCCCTGTTCGTCGCAGCCTGCGTAATGGCTGAAGGCGAGAGCCAGCAAGCAAATCGAGATGCCCTTATTCCTAGCCCTCACACCACAACTAGATGGATCTGGGTGTGGCATAGATTGGGGAAGGAAACGGAGATGGTGACTGCGAGAGGAGGCGGCGCTTCCGAGTGGCGGTACAGATTTGGGTTTTGAGATTCAATCGTTTTCTCTCTTGGGTTTCTAGATTTCAGTGGGAAAGGTACGTTTCTTTGTGGGGAAAAAGGCATAGGACATTCTATTGGAGGAGAGAATGGGTGATGGATCTTAATCATGTACCTCCCGTAGATGATTCGGTTCTTGATGGGTTATTTGGTTTCTCTGTTATCCCGATTGAGTACAGAGTGGGGTTTTCACCCGTTGCCTGTCGGCGGCGCTGCTGTCAAGAGGCGGGGCATTTGTCGATTACTCTGCGGAATTGGTTGTTGGGGACGTTGCGGTCGCTTGAGAGGAAGGAGAAGACATGGGAGATGCTGATGGGGATGTGGGAGGTTAGTTTGATGGGAAGGGTTCCGGCGGTGGATTGGTAGGTGCGGGGAAGGTGAGCAGGAGAATTCCAGGAGCATGGATTTTTATTTATTTTTTGCATTTCTTTTTTTGTTTGTTAGGTTTTTAGATGGTTGACGTGGAATCTATGTGGCAAGTTTGGCCTAGTTGTTGTTGACGTGTGCGTTGAGGTGGCATCCTAGTCAGCATAATGTTAATTTAACTGACGGAATTTTTAACACCGTTAAAGTTTGTAACGGAAATGGCTATATTTGTCATGCAAATTTCAAAATTCTGGCTATTTTTGGTATTTCTCGAAAAGTGGCTATTTTTGTCACAAACGCGAAAGTTTTGGCTATGCAGATGCATTTTGCCTTCTAAATAACACATAAATACCACACTTGCAATTTATGAGTTATTTCAACCTAAAAATACCACACAATCAATTAATCCATCCAAACGACTCCTAGGCTATAGCCCATAGGGGATAAGCCCGTATACAAAGAAGAACAACGGGCGAGATCCAATAACCAACCCAAGAATTCATTCGACGGCCCAGATAAGATTTTCAGCAGTTCAACCCCACAAACAACAGGTTCTACGTCTACCTTCCAAGCCACTCTCCCCGAAGAACAATTTGATACTCTGAGACGAGGGAAAAGTCGAGACCGAAATCCAGAATCCGCGGTGCCCCTCCCTTTTGGAACTAATCGGAGCATCGATTCGTTCTTGGGTTTCGACGATCAGCCATGTACAGAACCGCAGCTTCTCGCCTCAGGTCTCTTAAGGTCAGTTAAGATTTCTCTCTCTCTCTCTTTTCATACACAGCCAAGAATCTGGATCTGTAAGGTCCTTTGGTAGACGCAGCCCGTAATTTGACTAATCATATCGATTCCCTAACCACTAAGCTAGCGATCGCTTCAAGTTTAGATAATTTCGTAGTTCGGGGGTGTCCCTGTGGCGTGTTTTGATCGTTCATTTAGCCGCGTTCTGTTTGGTTGCTGTGAAAATGTGAGAAGAATTAGATAGTGCTCGATGGGCAGCTTGTCAGTGACTCATTCGTTGGAACAAATTCATAGGTTGGTTTCGTTTAGAAGCTGATGATATGGTTGATTAACCTGGTAGAAGAATAATTCGTGGCTTGGGCCGGTACTTAGAGTGTTGGTGTTTAGTCAGTTGAAGTGGCCGGTCGTAGAAGAAGACATTGGAATAGACCCGATGTCTTGGCAGTGAAACATTATTTTACATCTATGATTGTAGAAGATGACTTCTGTTAGTAGTGGATCACTTTATGATCACAGATATAAGCAATGTTGGTGTTCTATTTGCATCATATTGTGCGTCGAATATGGAGTGAAAATGATGGAACTTTCTTACCTGTATATTATGTTGAACTGTGGAAATAGGGGCGTACAAGCAGCAGGTTCCCCGTAAGCACTAGGTCACCTGCAAGATTCGCAAGCTCGGGTGCTGCCGTATTGCAGTCATCCACTTCAGGTGGGATCTTAAGTTGGTTTACTGGTGGAAATTCCAAGTCTTCAGTGCCTCTTGACTTCCAGTTTCCAGGAGTCGAGCTCCCACAATCACTGCCCGATTTTGTTGAACCGGGGAAAACCAAGATTACTACGCTCCCTAATGGCGTCAAAATTGCATCTGAATCATCTTCGGTAATTGTGCACTTCAAACTTCTTTTGTGGGATCAACTTTACCATTTGTTGCTAGGATGCCACCCCTGTCTCACTCTATCAATGTACTTTCCTATCTCTGTTATGTGCTAGAACCCTGCTGCATCAATAGGCCTTTACATTGACTGTGGCTCAATCTATGAGTCACCAGCCACATTTGGAACCACTCATCTGTTAGAGAAAATGGCCTTCAAAAGTACTAGAAATCGCAGCCACTTGCGAGTTGTGCGAGAAGTGGAAGCAGTTGGAGGTGTTGTACAAGCCTCAGCATCTCGGGAGCAAATGGGTTACACTTTTGATGCTCTAAAGACTTACGTACCTGAGATGGTGGAGTTGCTAGTTGATATTGTAAGGAACCCAGTCTTCCTAGATTGGGAGGTCAACGAACAGGTAATGTGCATCTTCTGTTTCCCTTCTCTTACAGATTGTTATATTTAATGCTGTCCTCTTAGCAATTATTTGCCTTGCACTCCAGCTTCTGAAGGTCAAATCTGAGATTAGTGAAGCTTCTAACAATCCGCATGGCTTACTTTTGGAGGCCATTCACTCTGCTGGTTTTTCTGGCGCACTGGCTAATCCTCTTTTAGCTCCTGAATCAGCTATTAATAGGTTAAATGGTTCTCTGTTGGAGGAATTTGTGGCTGTAAGTTTTCCCTCCTTTTCCAAATGAAATAGTTGCTTGCATCCTCCACCAAATTGTGTTATTAAACTCTATATTTTGAAACCTCTAGGAAAATTACACTGCCCCTCGGATGGTGCTTGCAGCTTCCGGTGTTGAGCACGAGGAACTAGTATCCATTGCTGAGCCTCTTCTCTCTGACCTACCACAAGTTCCAAAACCTGCTGAGCCTCAATCTGTTTATACTGGAGGCGATTACCGTTGTCAAGGAGAGTCAGGGGTATGAATCTCAGATATATGTTAACTTCCCTTCAACCTATGTAATAGATCCATGTAAAATGTATGACCTTGGACAATTTTCCTTTTTCTCACCGCAGGATATGATGACCCATTTTGCTCTCGCATTCGAACTCCCTGGTGGCTGGCATCAGGATAAGGATGCGATGAGCTTGACTGTTCTTCAGGTTCATGATCTTTTGATGCTTGCTTCTTTTACTTTTATTTCTCTTAAGAAAAATATATATGATTTGTTAGGTGGGTGAATATCCAAGGTTGTTTTCTGATTGTCTACTTGGATATATTACTATTAATCGTCTTAGTTATCACATTATCTGAGTACCAAGTTGAAGGCAACGATATATTGTTACTTAATGTTTGGCAGATGCTTATGGGAGGTGGTGGATCATTCTCTACTGGCGGCCCTGGAAAAGGAATGTACTCAAGGCTTTGTAAGTTTCTATCATGCTTCCTTGGCGACACCTTTCTAGGAATCCTGTAACTATTTATTGTTTTACTTCTTTGGTGACATTTTACCGGTAATGAATATCTTATCTACTGATATGTTGGGCAGATCTTAATGTCTTAAATCAGTGTCCACAAATTCAGTCCTTTTCGGCATTCAACAATATTTACAACAAAACTGCCTTATTTGGCATCCAAGCAACCACTGTAAGGATGCCTTTATCTGTGCTAAAGGCTGTCAGCCTCTTCTGATCCTACTTTCTTCTTTTTTCTACTGTGGAAGAATGTGCATGTTTGGTTACAAGTTCTGCTGGTAGACATGCTGCTCCGAAACACTAATTTTCTTCCTCAATGCAGACTTCAAATTTTGCAGCAAAAGCAATTGATATAGCCGCTAGTGAACTTATTGCTGTTGCTAAGCCTGGTGAAGGTTTGCTACCATTCTTATATATTGGTTTTTATACTTGTAGCTGTTTGGAATCCTGACTATAATTGACAAGGTTTAACCTCCTGCTTCCTCCAGTTGATCCCGTGCAATTGGCCCGTGCCAAGCAGGCAACAAAATCTGCCATTTTGATGAATTTAGAATCCAGAGTATGTGATATATCCTTCCATGTTTCACAATTGACCATGCTTTATGATTTTTGGAATCTTAATTTTATTTCTCTTTGTGTTTCCCAGATGGTTGCTTCTGAAGACATTGGTAGACAAATTTTGACATATAGTGAGAGGTACTCTATACCTCATGTTTCTATGTTTCTGCATTTTCTATCTATTTTGGTGGGGTATCCAGTCAATCTGTGGTTATTGTTAAAGCAGTAGGTTTACTTATACTTGGGATTTCTTCTATCATGGAAGAGTTCAAGTTAACGATTCAATCTTTATCTAATACCGTCCGCTGTCTGTGACATGCCACCGGCTTTACTGAACAAGAACACGGTTATTGGTTAGGACAAACAGTGAAATAACATATGCTGCGCGTGCTGGACCTTTTTGCTTATTCGTGTTTTCCATTATATTAAACGTGGGTTGTTTTGTTGATGGTATCTGTAATACTGAATGGATGGATGACTATTCAGCTGCTGCTGTATATAGATTTGTGGTTTGAAGGATATGTTAGGAGTCGGGAAATTGTGTTACTTAGTTGCATCCTTAACAGACTTTTCAGGGCAATTCGTCTAACCATGGATTTGGTACTATTAGGAATAGTTATTGAGAACTTTGATTAAAACACAACAGTATTTGTTTTATGCTCTCAACTCTCAATGTTTGATGATCTTATATTGGGTCTTTCTCAAGAGCTTGGCTTATGTGAGTGATGTCTCTACAAGTTCGATAGATTGGAAAGCTTATACATTTGTGTTCTTAGCACTAAGCTGTGTCTCTAAGAGCTTGAATATGAATGTGCTCGTTAATGACTTGATTAATTAATTGACTGATATTTTGCTGGGTGACTTTTCACAAATGAACCCAGCTCATTCGTAATCTTTTCTATATCCAGGGTATTTGTTTGGTTATTCATTAACAGTTCTATTTAAACTTTTATCTCTTCTAGGAAACCGGTGGATCATTTCTTGAAAGCCATAGATGCAGTCACAGAGCAGGATGTTGCCAAGCTTGCACAGAAGCTCATTTCATCCCCTCTTACGATGGCGTCCTACGGAGATGGTAAAACACCCACTTACTGAGAAAACCTACGTACTAGTGCTGGTTTCTATTAATCCTTCCTCAAATCAATTGAATTTGATTTTGTTTTCACTGATATCCTGCAGTTATCAACGTTCCAACCTATGACTCAGTCAGCAGCAAGTTCAGATCGAAATGAAGTAGTCCTTGACGAGAGGCTGAAATCTATTTGTGCGTCCAAGCTCTGCTTCACATAATGACACAGGAGCTTATTGCAGTTGATGAAATAAGTAGTGATGATATAAGAAAGAACCCATTTTTTAAAAAATACAACTTCGTAGGACGGGGTTTCGGCCAGCCAGCAGTTTCATATTTCCCCCCACGAACTAGTGAAAACCCCTCTCTGTATGGACAGAGTGGACAGTTGAATGATTCTCCATTGCTAGGGATGGCAATTTTGCCCATACCCATGGGTATTTTACTATCCAACCCAATTGGGTTGGGTATGAAATCCAAATATATGGATATGAGTAAAGTTTGATGGGTTTGTACCCATACCCATTTACTTTGGGTTGGGTTGGGTTTATAACAAATGGATTTGGGTTTGTACCCATACCCAAATACAAATTACAGTTTGGTACCTAAACTTAATAGATATGCATATTTAGTACCTAAATTTAATTTTTTTTGCATATAAGTCCTCAAAATATCGATGGAAAATTACGTTTTGGTACCTAAATTTTTTTGGTCTTACATTTTGGTACCTAAATTTTTCAAGTTTTACAAATAAGTCCAATTTTTGCATGTGTAATTAAAACACCCTCAAGTAAATGGATATCCATATCCAACCCATACCCATTTAGATAATATCCATATATAACCCAAACCCATATACACATCACCCAAACCCACCCATAATAAATGGGTCTACATGGGTTTGGGCAAAATTACCCATGGGTGGGTAAATTGCCATCCCTATCCATTGCAGAGACAATGATCAAACATTCAATCGCGTAATGCTGTCGTTATCGATCACAGTCTGAAACTTGCAAAATGCAGCTGAAAGCATTAGAGACTTGAGAATGAAGGAATCCAATAAAAAACCCCTAGCTTTCCCACAGCAAATAACAGGGTAAATTGCAAGGTTGATCATTGAGATTACTAAAAATGTTCATGTTTGGTCATTAAAAATATTTAATTTCATTCGTGATCATTATGATTAATCAAACCATTTGAGTTTGGTCACTCTCTGTTATCTTCCGTCAACCTCCGTCAACACTATCAATTTTTTGCTGATGTGGCTTACAAAAGTGTTGAGTCACCAAAATTTAATCTGAAAAAATAAAACTCAACCAGCCATGTCATCTGCCACGAATCCACCAAGTCATAAGACCAAACCTTCTAAATCAAACCCATCAATTCAACCACCCAAATCTATCAAACCCACGTCAATAAACCCACCAATCAATAACAAAACCAGTCTCTTGTTATCCTCCAACAGATTTTGGGGATTTTATCTCTGCTCTGACGGAGAAGATGGCGGTGCGACGGCTTCCGAAGAAGATCTGTGGATACTCGATGGAAAACAGGTAAAATGGATATGGGTCGCGCAGTGGCAGCTCCTCTGGGTAAGTCGACGTCTTTGGGGCTCTCCACTTATGTGATCGCCCTCCTCTAGCTCATTCTTTGTCTGCTTTTTCGTCTCTGGATTAGCTCACCGTCGCCTTTCATGGTTGCCCTGATCTGGCACAAGAACGAGGAGGGCTGGTCGACCACCGGCTACTGCTTGTGGACATGAAAACGATCCTCGAGTGTGTGTTGGACTTCGAGTAGGAGGTAGAAGTTGGGATTTCTAGATCTAGGTTTTGATAGAGACGATGGCGAACTGAATCTGGAGATTTTGGGAAGAATGTTAAGCAGCTGAGGGAGGCGCGGCGCGACAGGCAAGACCGAGCAGAACAGAGGGTTTTCGATCTAGGTTTTTGGGGAAGGAAGGTGATTTTTTTAACTATCTGAGCTTCTCCGCCACCAGGACGATGGGCTTGGCGTTGAGGACGATGAAGCGGCGGTTCTTGCGGCCTTGGGTGCGGAGATCGAATGAGGAATCGGAGAATTGTACGTTTGAGGACATGAAGAGCGAGGAGGAGAGCTTGGGATTGAGGGATGAGAAGTTGAGGGTGGAGGTGAAGTGGAGAGATTTGAGAGTTCGGAAAGTTTTCTTGCGATTTGATTCGAGAGGTAGAGATTTTCTTTTTCTTCTTCAAATGGGTCAACTAGAGGAAGAAGAGGCTGGGTCGGGTTAGGTCGGGTCTGGTTGGGTATTTTATGTGGCTGGTTTAAACGATGTGGTGGGTCATATATTATTTTCTTTGGTTAAAATTAGTTGATTAGACAATTCTGTTACCCACGTGAGCAAAAAAACTAATGGTGTTAACGGAGGCTGATGGTAGGTATTGAAAAGTGACCAAACTCAAACTGTTTGGTTAATTCTAGTGACCACGAATAGAATTAAATATTTTTAGTGACCAAACATGAACATTTTTTGTAATCTCAGTGACCCACCTTGCAATTTACCCGCAAATAACTCCAAAGCTTTGGTGTGTCACCCTGCAAAAACCAAAAGTTAAGCATAATCCTCAGCATATTCCACCACCACCCAAGAGGAATCTTCCCTCTTACCTTTTATAAGAACAGTCCTACCATATTCCAGAACTGCAACTCAGCAAGTGCAAGAGACTGATGAAATCCTACAAAGTGACCCAATTGAACTAAAGCGATACAATGGCAATAAGACTCGGACTAACTAAAGCTACAACTTCCCCACCATTTCTGGCAGGACCTCCAAACTGCTAGAAAAAATGAAGCTACATCACTATCATTCACCAAAAACCTGTAGAGGCAAACACATCTGCAAGCAAGTAACATGCTGAAACGATAGCCCAAAGCAAAGCTGCTGCCTCTTTTTTTAATGGCAATTGTCATCGCAGTATACACAATTACCTCCATTTTTTCTCTCATAACTCTTTGGTCATAAACACGATAGGCTTTATTTCTGTACAATACAACAACCCCACCTATGGGCAGTTGACGTATCCCGGGCGTCTTTAGCAAGCACGCGCCTCAGGAATCCGCCCAGCAACAGGCCCAGAGACGCCCGATACTTTCAAGGACGCAAAGAGGCAGGACAACCGGGCTATCATGGGCCTCGACTTCATTCTTGGTACAATTGCCAATTCCTTACCGGTACTAGCAGCACCATCCTCGGAGGAACTATGGTATCCCTCGAGATCTGCTTTCGTAATGAGAACTTCGTCCCCTGATGGAGACCACGTGGTAGAAGATAACTGGCGTGAGTGGCGTCTACTGTATTCTTGAACAGCCTGTATATTTCGAAGGAAATATTAGTACATAAGTGTACAAGATGTTCAACCATCACTCAGTTATCACTTATCACCCATCTCTAAATGCTCAACCTCCTAACAACATGATTGTACAAAAAGAATGTGATGAATTACCTCCCACTGCGTTGGAGCTAGCAACACTCTAGGTCTTCTAGATCTCACGTAATCAAGGGCGGCGCCAGGCGTCATGTGCTTATACTTTACCTGCAACATATAGCGTATGACACGAATAAATGTCGGAACACAAAAGAGTAGTCAAGAAGAGATGTTTGAACCAAAGCAGCCTTTACCAAATAACAGAGCACAATGGTAGTACTCCTCCCACGCCCAGCTTTGCAATGAACGTAGGTAGTTCTGCAACACAATGCATTCCCTGAAGCACAAATAGAGAAGAGATCAAAATGAAATACACCATACTCAGACATAATGGAGGATCAATTGATACTTCAAGTAGAAAAAATTACTCACTGTGAATGAAATCCACTGCCAGACTAATATCTGCAAAAGAAGGGGCAAAGAGATAATCCCTTGTTGGAATTACTAGATGTTCAATTCCATGGACCTGCAAAAACACACAACACAAAGCAAGCATGAGAAAACACAATTGGTTTCGTAGCGAGTTACTAACTAAACTGAAAGGACTTCCAAACAAGAAGCCACACAGAAGCTCGTTCACTACTTTGCTCTAGATGCATGGCATAATTACATCGCTAGCTGAGCATCAGCCTTTCCCCCAGAATAGGAAATCCTGCAGTTAGTTCATAAAATTCACATTGCTTGAAACCCCAAGTAAATTGTAAACCAAGATGATTGTAGGAAGTTCACATTAGTACAGCCAGGATGATTGCAAACAAACCTACATCGAAGCGCAAGCATAAATGGAGCATTTGTATGGTAGAAAATAACCCACACGATACAAGGCTGATGGAACCAGAGTCTCGTATGGTTCATTGAGGGTGATGACTCCACCTACACCAAGCTTCTTCAGTCGGGGAACATCCTTAGGAAATGGGACGGCACCCAGTAGTAGATACTGCAGAAAAAAGCAATGGAAACTGTCAAGATATTAACCAAAGAAGAGCATAAGCTCAAATCGAGTGAATAATATTTCATCTCCACAGCTTCAACAAGTTGACATCTTGTATCCCAACGATCAAATACTAGCTGGAAAACTGGCCGCCCAAATGACCAACAACATGAATAAAATCTATTTTCCTCGGCCGGAAAGTGAATACACCATCCAGTTTACAGAAAGACGCCGACTTGAACACGGAAAACAAATATACAATAAGAAGTTTCTCCTAAGAAGCAAAACAGCCCATCAGTTTCTCAGCTACCAAACACTGGATAAACGAGACCCACAAGGAAAACAGATAGCATACTTCCACCGAGAACAGAGCAGCAAAAGGAGAGAACGAAGAGAGAGGTAGGAAGATCAACCTGGTCAACTTCATCCCACCACCGGAACTCAGCCTGGATTTTGTTCCGAAACACATTATAGAAAAGCGTGGGGTAGAAAAGAATCCGAGCACCAACTCCAACCAGGGCTCGCTTGGCGTCAACCCTAACAATCTGAAGCTGCATCATCTGCTTCTCGTAAACGCCATCGTCTTCTTCCTTACAACCAAGACCGGACTCCTGATCGTCCAGCTCCTCGATCTTCATCTCTCTCAAATCCAAAACCCAACTCTAGAACAGAGGTGGAGAAAAAGTAACCAAAAAAGTCGTCACGAATTCGAACACGGAATCGCAGAGAATCGCGTCCCCGAAAGGTGGAGCATTGAATTGTCTACCGGGAATTGGACTGAGAGTTAGGATTTAGGCATCGCAATCAATGGAGGGGAAAGGATCGGGAGAAGATGATCGAAAGAGACGAGAAGGGTGGGATGGGATAATGGAAATTAAAGGGCTGTAGAAGGATCGGATCAGGGATTAGGTAGCGGAGAGAGATGGATTGGGGAGGAAAAGAAGCTGAAAGTGAAAGAAGTGTGAAATTGGGGAAAACTGGGAAATCGGTTTCTCGTGGACTAGAGAGAGAGAGAGAGAGTGGAGGGTGGAAAGAAATACAAATAAAAGGATAAATGAAGTAGAAGTGACGGAAACACCCTCGATGATGTATGATATTCACGATGTACCACTGGCACAGAATGTGGTAGTATGTTATATGTAGGGCTGGAAGTTTAGTATCGGTATTTGAGATATATGGAAAGTCAAATACACTTGTATAGTCAAAATTTTGACGTTTTTACCAAATATAGCCACTTTTGGAAAAATACCAGAAATAGTCACTTTTGACCAATTGTTTGACGGTGTTAGTTAACGTGATGACTGGACTAACAGCAGCGGTTGACGTGGCATATTTTATTCAAAAATAATATTAGTTGGAAAAAATTAAATGAAAAAATAAAAAGTATTTTGAACCATCCATCCCTCTCTCTTTCTTCAATTTATTCTAGTTAAGTTTAATAAAATTATTAAAAAAAAATCTCCAACCCCAACCTGTTCATCTTCTTCCGCTGCCTCCCTCGCCCTCAACCCCACCCCCCACACCAATCCACCGCCGCCTTCACTCCTGTCCGCTGCGGCCTCCTCATGAGGGTCGTATCCCAACTCCCAAGCACCAAAGCGATTCACGCCGTCACGCTGGGGAAATCTGGGCCATGTCCCGAGCACCAAAACTTCTCTCTACTCCAATCCCTCTCTTCTCTCTCTTCATTCCCCTTGTGCGAGTTATCCCAACCGTCGCTCCTGTTCGAAAAATCCTCCTAGATCCGCTTTCGATATCAGTCAATCCGGCAGCAACTCCGCCACTGCCTTGTCCTTATCCCTCTGATTCTTAATCAACACCTCGCTCACGGACGTGGGGTCATCTCCGCCTTATCAATCACCGCCTCAATCTCCTTCCAAACTCGGCGTTTCCTTCCTCGAGCGTAATCGAGTTCCCTGACTCGTCGAGCCGCCTTTGGTGGCTCCTCCTCTCATCTCCACCGCGGCCGCCTCGTAGAAGCCTGACGAGCCTCCTTTGTTTCTGATGCTCGAGCAGCCCTTCTTGCGATTCCCGAGGCTAATCGAGCATCACTCATCCGCTCCTGCCCCTCCACGAAATCCCTCGGATCTCGCATGTTTCGAGCTTCTTCGCCGGATCCATGGTGGGCGACTAGCGATGGTGGGCGACTGCTGCGACGGTGGGGTTTCTCAATTTGTGCGGTTGGTGATTTATGCGGCATCACTATGAATATGGGATCCTTTGGCATTCCCAATTTGTTGTTCCCCATCTATCTATGTTATTCCTCATCCGTGTTGATTGAAAATACAGGGGCAAAAGTTGAAGATGGCGAGCAGTTTGGTGGAAGGGGATAGATGGAGATGAAAGGAAGAATAGAGATGAAGGGAAGAATAGATAAATTTATTATTGTACTTCTATGATTTTTATTTATTTTTAAATTAAAATATGACATGGCATCCATGTGACAACTGTTGGTGAGTTGTCGATGATGTGTCCGGTGAGTTGGCAGCCACATAAGCGTTTCGTTAATTTGACTAACAGTGTCACTGACGTCGTTAAAATATGTAACGAAAATGGCTACATTTGTCATGAAACTTTCACAATTTGGCTATTTTTGGTATTTCTCCAAAAGTGGCTATATTTGGCAAAAACGTCAAAGTTTTGGCTATACAAGTGTATTTGACCTATACCGAATACCGTACCGAATTTATCACTATTTGGTATTACCGAATACCGGTTTATTTTTTAGGGATTGAGATTTGGATTCATTTTGGAGTGCTATTCGATATTCGTGATTACGTGATTGGGATCGGTATATACCAAAATACCGAGAAATACCGAAAATTAAAAATTAATTAAATATAACACAAAACGTTTAGTCATTCCTCACTCTTTCACAACTTAGAAGCCTCATCCAACTCAATTTTGACTTTCCAATTTATGTCACTCTCGTCTCTCACCTAATCTCTTTTTATTTTCATAAAACCAAAAAGCAAACACTAGTATTGATCGTCTCTCAGCCTCCAATTCGTCAAATCAAAGATTACCAATGACAAGAATTTGAGATGTCACCTCTCCTCCATTCTCCTTATCCATATCCTAGCTCTAGGTAAACTCAAGACTCTTTGCTTAGTCTCTTTGGCCCAAATTAAACAATCAAATCTAATTTATATATTTAATTATTAATTACAAAGATAATTAATTTCGCATTCGATAATACTGATTGGGATACCGAAATATTTAGGGATTGAGATTGGGATACCGAAATTATTTAGGGATTGGGATTGAAAATGACTTTATGGTGTAATTCGATATTTGGTATTGGGATACCGATACCGTACCGATCTCCACCCCTAATAGTATGATAGAAGCCACCATATATAAGTTATTCATACATTTTTTGGTGCAAAAAACAAATGAGAGCTACAGAGGCAAACATATGTTGTGTCGAAACAAATCAAAGGCTGCGGGTATTCTACCGGAAGGAGGTGCAGGGCTTGGTGCTGTGGCGAGGGATTCCGCAGGTCGATTCCTCTTTGCAGCGGCGAAGATGGTTACAGGTATCAGGGACCCAAAGGATGCGGAAGCTCTGGCAGTTGAGCTAGGCGTTCAGACAACGTTTCATCTCAATCTAATGAACCCAATTTTGGAGACAGACTGCTTGAACCTTGTGAAAGATCTTACGACGACTGAAAGAATCAAAACCGAGAAGGGGATTGTCTGCACGAACATCCGACGCTTGCTCGGACAACTAGGCGAAGCTTCATGGCAGTATGCACCAAGGGAAGCTAATGTTGCAGCTCACACGATGGCACACGTAGAGACAAAGTGGAATGAAAAGACTATTTGGGTTGATAGGCCTCCGATGATCCTTTTAGATCGGCTAGAGCTGGACAATGTAACCTCCCTTGCTGATTAATGAAAATCCTCAGGTTATCAGTAAAAAAAAAAAACAAATCAAAGGTTGTGGGTTATTAGTGAGTGCAACATAGGTGTGAAGTGAACATGCAACTAACATTCAAATTATATGGTTTAGTTGCAACAAAAATAGGTTAGATGGTCATCATAGTAACTGCCCGGTCGTTTGCTTGTTATTTAGGTTAGATGGTCATCATAGTAACTGCCCGGTCGTTTGCTTGTTATATTTGAAAAATGAGGGTTTTGGTTCAAAAAAATCTCAGGATTTAGTAGGGATTTGTTGCATTACGGATTTGAAAACTCTATTGTTTGCATTATAGAGTTGATGATATAATTATGACGGATTTGTTATAAATATAACTAGCCACCAAAGATTTACAAATCCCACCCAAATATGTAGGATTTACAAGTCTGTGAAGTCCACAAATTTGAATAAAAAAAGGAATAAATTCGTGGACCCCATGGATTTAACACCTAACAACAAACAATGGACTTGACTAAAATCCATCATGCTTGGGATTTGAGTCCCAAATTCATGACCCAAATCCAACAAGCAAACGACCCTTCATCACACTTAAATGACACCCAATACATTTAACCCTAAAGTTGGAGGATACTCATGTATAATTATCACAAGAGAGAGAGAAAGGACACATACTCCTTACTAAGAATTGTAAAACTGTACTCGAAGTCATTCGAAAAAAGTCATCAGTAAGATATTTTGTACTAAAATCATAATTCAACTGTTTCATACCGCTAAAATTGTCTATCATTTTAGAACAATATGCGGTACGACAGACCGCTACACTAAGTTTCTCAAACATTGCTCAAGATACAAAAACTCCATTCAACCAACTCAAACACACACAAGTTTCACACTACAAAGATGGTTTAGGGGCCACATCCACCAAGAAATGCTTGGCATTTCCCTCATCTTTGAGTTATTATTACTAGGGTTTAGTTTCAGCCGTAAAGCCAACATTGTGACCTACATTGCTAACTTTCACATCTGACGCATTCTGCTACCTACCTTCAAATCCAACTACTCATTCAGTCTTTTCTTTTAGGAAGTCTTCCACACATGGACGGAGACAGCAATAACCACAGTTGGAAAAAGGAGCAGAGAAAATTACAACTAGCCAACAAAATCTAACCAAAATTGAACCGTCCAAATCTGCTATCCACCTCCAATTCTATCTTGAAAACATCAACATTTGACATTTCTCTCTTAAAAACCCACCCAGCAGCGGGAAGCAATCATATCCAACCAACCAACCCCAATCTTTCCCTCATCGTCGCCGCTCTTTCTCCGACCCCGTCGCTGCCGCCGAGACGGAGAAATCCTCTGTCACCAGGAATCTGCTTTGACCCAATCTTACCCAGCTCCCCATCTCCGGATTTCCCCGTGTTTGGGGTTTTTGAAAGTTCTCGTGGTTATCGCCTGGTCAAAGATTGGCCCCGGCGCCTTCTGTGTACCGATAAACTAAGGTATGGGGCAAAGGTCGCCCTCTGTTCTTTCTTTTATTCTTTGCGGCGAGTGCCATTTGAAGAACTTGTATGAGACCGAAATTTGATACTGGGTCTTCGAGGATTAGGCTGGTCGGCGATTTCTATGTTGATAGACATCGCCAGATTTTCTTTTTCCATCCTTGGAAATTGGGTTGAGATTTTGTCTTGGGATGCAATGACGGATTCAACGATACTTCTAATTCGTATAATCGAAGATTCTGGTTCTGATTGTGAAGAAACTTGTAATGCAAAAGAAAGATGCGGGCTTGGTAGGTTGCAAGAACAAGCGCCTTTAGGGACAAAGTTCAAATCTTGTGATTGCATCGAAGTGGGAACTTGGTTATTCATGCTACGTTTGTTACTTTTCAGGTTGCTTTGAACTTTTGATTCATTATGTTGTTCATTGTTTATGAGCAGGCCTTTTGGGTTATTTGTCTGGGATATGAGGAAGAGATATTGATCTGCGGTTTTGTAATCGATCTTTCCCTTTGTACAGATAAAAGTATTGTCGATCCTGTATAACTGTGGTGTTGAGGAGGAGATTTCCATAATGGAGCATCGATCAGCATCACCAAAAACAGAGGACCTAGATGCCCCTCTCCACTTGTTAGGGTTTGAAATTGAGGAAGTGTCACCAAGCAAAGTCACAGGCCGCCTTCTGATAACAGAAAAATGTGTACAGCCTTTCAAGGTGCTGCACGGTGGAGTATCCGCCTTGATGGCAGAGTCTTTAGCTAGCATGGGGGCGCATATGGCTTCTGGGTATAAAAGGGTTGCTGGCATTCACCTCAGCATTAGTCATTTGAAGCATGCTGATCTCGGCGATCTTGTTGTCGCTGAAGCCACTCCTGTCAACGTCGGCAAAACCATTCAGGTGTTTACTTGCTCTTTACTTTGTTTGAATCTTCAAAATTCCACTTATCTGATGCTCAATCTTGGCCTAGTGAACGTTGAGTTGGATCTCTTTTCCATCAAAGCTTGAAACTTGCTGACTTTCTTTGTGGTTTGCTTGCCCTTGGCTGGTCTTCTGATCTCTATTCGGACATTGGAATCGTGTATCATGACTAGTAAACTGTCCCTGAAAGACTGTTGCTTTACCATCTGAAATCAAAGCTGGGAAATGAATAGCCTTTAAGTTTGGTTGTATCTCACATTCTATGTGGTTATTTGATGATAAGCCCTGGATACTTCAGAGCTACACTACGGATAACATCTCTCGACCAAACATTTGGACGCTATCTTGTAGCTGAGAGCCTGAGACATTAATGGTACGTGTTTTCTTTGTGAACCATGAATAGGTCTGGGAGGTGCAAATTTGGAAAGTTGATCCTTTGACCACAGACAAGAAGTCTTTGATTTCATCATCCAGAGTCACTCTCCTAAGCAACATGGCGGTGCCGGAACATGCCAAAGAAGCTGCTGATAAACTCAAGAGATATGCTAAACTGTGAAATATATGTTGTGTGTACTGTAAGGGTAAAACAATCCCCAGGGTGAATATTCAACCGTACTACATTCTGTACAGAACTGAACCCTTTGATTGTGTTGGGCGAGATAGAAATAAAGAAAATGCAGCAGAGAGGGCACAGGGTTGCTTCACTCTCACGAGACCTTCGTGTTCAACATGTTGCTCATTGTTGCTGATCTTAGGCTCTTCTCTCTTGTCAGTTCTCTGTTTTAGCCACGAAAGTCGATAGTGTTGGTGGGGTGCCATGGCTCCAATGATTCGACTATGGTCTCTTACGTCCGTCTTCGGGTCTCTTGTCCAGTTGTGTTAATGGCTATTGCGTCGCT